ATTAAAAAACTTACACTTTGTAGTGTATAGAGTGGCGCCCTACTTTACATGACCCTAGTCTGCACAGCTTGCTCATTTATTCTAAAAATATTTACTCAAATGTCAACTTAGTGAAACCTTCCCAGTCCTCCCTTTTTAAGGGCAACCTTCCAACTCACCCTGCCACATGCACATTCTATACCTTCCTTTTCTTGTCCATAGCATTCCCCCCCCACTCCTTTCACCCTGAGATCCCCTCCACAGCACTCTTCACTTTCCAGTACACCATACAGTTTACCACTTTTGTTTTCATACTTCCTGTTTTCTCCCACTTCACCTCCCATGTAAACTACACAAGGGGTGATCAAAAGATAATGAATGTTTTAAATTTAAAGAAAATTATTACAGTAAAAGACACATTTTCATTAATCCCCCCAAAAATACTTCCTCTTGCTTCAAAAACACTTATCCCATTGTTCTTCTGAAGTCTCCTTTTGTGTCTTTATGAAGTATGGTAACAATATGAGGAAAGCTGCTGGCAGTGCCACTCCGCGGAGAAGCAGGCTCATGAAAGCACCACGGTGTGTCCTCATCCTTATATGCAGGATCTGGCACCGTGTGACTGCTGGCTCCTCCCCAAGGGCAAAATGACCATGAAAGGTAAATGCTTTTGAATTAATTCAGGACATCAAGGCAGCCCCAACAGCACAGCTAGACACAAAAGACTTGCAGAACTGCTTCAGAAAAGGCATGATGATAGGATAAGTGTGTTCAAAGTGAAAAGGAAGATTTTGAGGGGGATAATGGCAATGAGCTTCTCACTATAATAATTTTTTTAGCTGGGCATGGTGGTGCACGCCTGTAATCCCAGCACTTGGGAGTACACTTGCTGAAGCAGGAGGATTGCTGTAAGATCACTGTAGCCTGGGCTACAAAGTGAGCTCAAGGTCAGCCTAAACTGCATAGCAAGACCTTGTCTCAAAAAGACAAAAAATAAATAAAAATAAAAAAATTTTAAAGAACCCAAATAGTCAAGGTATTTTTTTAGATCACACCTCACATGTCTGCAGGGATTTTGTTTCTGTTGTACTTGTAGTGCTACAATAGTGCTAAAACATACTAGGGATAAACAAGGGTCCTATATAACTCAGGCACTCGATCTCACCCACTTATAATAGCTCATTTTTTCCCAAATGATTAATTACCCAACCACTGGAAGATTAGGATTCTAAACTGCTAAGGGAGGATTTTCTCTGTGTCAGTTACATAAAGGTGTCACTTGTTCAAATATGTCAAACTTCATACTCTACTCAAAATAATGCAGACAGTCATTGTTTCTTTCTATAGACTGGAGAAAACGCATCAGCATATTTAAACAATCGGTTTTCTCAATGTCACTTGCTCGTTGTTCTTTTCTTTCTGTTTTCAGTTCTCTCTCTGAGACACTGGTGCCACTCACTGGACCTACCTCCGCCTCTGGTCCCTGAGTATTTCTTTACACCTGTGGCAAACTCAGTCCCTCCCACCCAGCCGTCCCAGAGTCAAACCTCGGCGTCCTCCTTCCCTGTTCCCCAGAGCCTGACAGGCCACAGTGGCAGAGGACCGGGTCCCATTCAGGTGCTCACCTGCTCACGTCTGCCTGGGTGCGCAAACTCTCTCTCACTGGTGGCTGCCTCTGCTCTTTGCTCCCGTTTGAGCTCCACTGACTCAAGCTAACGTCACCAAGCACAGTCACCTTTGTGCTAGTCTGTAACTGTGTGGAGATTTGCTACCTTACTCCCCTCTTTACCCTTCGCTCCACCCTTCTCCACCTTCCCCCAGCAATACGACTATCTGGTTCATCCACTTTATGACAGTTAAGTGCCAACTAATAGAATTGTTGCTCACAGGCCTGAAGTTGCTCAAGAACCAATTTTTGTGTTGTTTTTATGTTAGCCAAATAGAAAAGTTAAACGTACTTCTCAGTAGTTTCCATTCGTGACATGGAATTTTTTTTTTTTTTTTCTGAGACAGGGTCTCACTGTGTAGTCCAGGCTGGCCTTGAACTCACAGTGATCTTCCTGCCTCAGCCTCCAGAGTGCTGGGATTACAGGCGTGTGCTACCACATCTGGACGAAATGGAATTTAGCAAGCTGGGCACTGGGGCCGGGGATGCAGCTCAGTGGCACAGCATCTGCCTGGCAAACACAAGGTCCTAAGTTCAACTCCCGGTACCAAAAAAAAAAAAAAGTTAGAAAGCTAGGCACTGAACTGTCAATTACTAAGCACCTAATACACACCAGGCATTGTGCTGATCTAGATCTATAACAGGGAATCAAATAGGCTTAGCTTGGAGAGACATCAGCTTCCCAGGGGAAAAAAAAACCAAAACAGACAAGTAAACCAATGACTATAGTGCAGCTGGATGAGTTCTCTGACAGAAATGTCCACAGTGCTAGGGACAGCGTCTAAGGGACAAGTAACTTGGAAGAGGAAAGGAGGGAGGAAGGGAATGGGAGGACTCTTGAGAGATGCTAGGCCTAAGAAGCATCCTGAATCAGGGGCAGCAGTACTCTGGGGGAGGGAGGATTCTGACAACTGCAAGTGTGGCTGGAAAACACAGGCACCAGCATAAGGAGAGCAGGTGTGAGGAAAGCTGGTTCTGAAGGCACTGACTCGGGTTTCTTAAGGAGCAGAGGTGTTATCGTCTGGCTCCCTGGTGATGAGTGTTCCCTGTGTAAGACCTTCTGTCCCTCCTCCGGTGAAATACCAGTTCTGACTGACTGAGATGAAACTGCATATATCTCCCGACAGTGGGAAACACGGAAATGAGTGACTAGAAACATCCACCAAAAGGTCTGAGGATAGTAAAAGCTTCTACTGCCGATTCATCTTAGCTCCACAGCAAAGTTG